ATCATCAACGGTGCAATCACGTTATGAAGAATGCCTATTTTAAGGAATAGTGTTAAAAGCGACAAAAATATTGATTTGAATGTCATTTTGTCTATACTTCTGGTGACTCTTATAGTTAGTAATGAGTGTATCTAATAATCTGTATGCATTGCCAAAAACAATGAGCCTACAGTATAACCAGTTACCTTAAAATCAAAATAATTTTTAATCTGATTTCTCCAAAGACCAAGGTGGAAAAAACATTGGCATCAGAGATTATTATTACAGTATATGTGCATTTGTGTGAGTGAATGTCGGTGCGTTCAATTGTATTGTTTATTACACTGTTCTTGTTATCGTCGTTTTATTAGGATTTACCTTTTTAGGTCACTTGCCTCAGGGTCCGAGCTGAATATGAACTGTGCCTTGGATGCAGTATTCACTATAGTTCCACCATTTTCAACTACAATAAAGAGAATCAAAGTTAAAATGATAGGAATGGTGTTTTGCCCTATCTGACGTACGATCCCAAATAGAAGCGGTTTGCCGGAGCAGGCATGGCCTCCAGACAACTAGCCAGGTGTCATCCCCACTAGACCACCAAGCTTGTGCTTAGGTATTGTTGAATCTGAGGATCCCGACACAAACAATGTTTAAATAAAGTTAAAATTACTACATAATATGAACAAATATTTTTTATTTTTGTATGTTCATATAAAAATTGTAAATATGGTACAGATTCTATTAAAATTAAAATGCTTGGCTAAGGTTTTTGTGTTACATAACAAACTGAAGTATACCCCAATGATCTTTGTATCGCTTGTCAACACTAGTTGAGAACCAGGCTGAAATACGGCGGAATATCCTCCTCTTTGACATTTCATCAGCTCTCTCTGAAATTTCAAATACAGAAAATATAAATTTATAATTGTTATAATAATTTTTCTTAACGAAAAGGAGATGGAAACCAGCCTGGAGGTATTCCCAAAACATACTTGTAAAGTAACAGTATACATGGGTTTTTTTGCATATGTATGTTCTAAACTGTAGACGTAGGTAAAAGGATCCAGATCTTTACAGGGGTGATGCCAGCCCCCACCCCCTACCATCAGGGATATCTGGCTCCAGAAAAACCACAATTCATCAGGAAACAATAAAAAATTACATGTATCTTTCACATTTGTAGACTATAGGCCCAATAAAAAAAATTATTAGTTTATCACCCTCACGCACATGTCTTTTATGGTACTGGAAAAAAAGAAAATTTGTTTTTAAAAAAAAATTTTATGAAAAAAAAAAAATTTTTGAAATTTTTTTTATTTATTTATTTTATTAAATAGTTAGTAGATATTGTTTGCATTATCTAAATCATGTTTTACTTTGAATATCAATGCACCAGCAAACAACCCAAGAGTGATATTTGGCTTTAGCAAAATAAAAAATATAAAAAAAAAACCTCCCTCCCTCATCACTTTTCCTGCCCAGATAGGGTGTGATAAACTAATAATATTTTTTATAGGGCCTTATCTATAAAATGGATTAAATAATCCTTTGAAACCCCAATTTGGCTTTTCCCCCTGGACCACTTTCGAAACATTTTGAGTGACGCCCACTTTGCTCTCATTGCGGAGATCTCCCTTTGGAGATCTCGGCCCACACTCCCATCAGGCAAATCCTGCCTGGCGCCACCCTTGGTTCTTTATAATTAGGCCTAGGTCTACCTAGATTAGATATGCCTATGCCTAGGTTTTTTTTAGACCTACAGTACAGTAATTTTTGTTCTTATCCACCCTCACAAAACATTCTTAAAAAACAATAACCTATTGGCCGTATTCGACTGGTCGTTCTTCGCTAAACCACACCCATATGCACAGCGGTAAAATCCTACTTAACGACCAGTCGAACAGAAAACTTGTGAATACAGTATTTGACAAAACAAAATGGCTGCATAGCTACCGCGATATACGCTGCGAAATCAAGATTGCTTCAGCTTGTGCCAGTATGGGTTTTTAGTAAAAAAATATTTTAATCTAGTTTTTGAAATCTGTTGGCCTACAATTATTTTTTGACTTGATGTGGGTAAATATTATAATTTTTATTTTCTAAAATTTAATCTAAATTATAACACAAATGTTGTTTATAAACTCACCAATCGGCCATGTTTGTTTTGGTCACATGAATAACTTAACGCGGATTAACGCACTCTGATTTACGTTAATTTTTGTTGTCAACGAAGACTATTTAACGAAGTCAAATGAAAATAATACTCAACGAAAATTCGTAATCAATGAATTGGCAAATATTGGAGAAATCATTCGGCCTCAGCTGCATGGATGCCAGTCAATTCGAGCGGATGTCAGTTCAAGCAGATGTCAGTTCGAGCGGATGCCAGTTCGAGCGGATGCATTTAGTGCGAACTACAGCAAGGGCAATTTTATCATCGCCCTATTTTTGTATTGTTTTTGTAATTATTCCATGTTTGAATTACAATCTTGGCAAATCCGACTAAACGATGGCCGCTAGAAAGCACTTAGGCCCTATATTTTAAAACTGTATAATTTCGCACGTAGAATTAACGATTTTTGTCTCCAGTTTGTTGAATTATATAGTGTTGTAACAGTATTTGTAGATTTACGAATTAGGCCTATATTTGTAAATGGGAGTACAATAGAACCTCGATTTTACGTACGGTACGGGTCCGGAGGGCGTACGTAAATCGGGGGATTCGTAAAAAATAGAGGTTGGGTTAAATTTGTGGTAACCTTTGACCTAATACGTACGTAACGCTCAATATACGTATGTATGAACGAACGATGTTACCTAGCTTAGGCTAGACCTAGCCTCTAGGCCCAGTGGCGGCTCTAGGATATATTTTCTGGGGGGGGGCCAAGTTGTCCGACAGGGGGACTTGAGCTCGTAGGCTCGAGCTGGGAGAAGGGGTTAGGGGGGTTCCCCCTCCCAAATGAGATTTTTTAAAAGAATATCAACTTCTAGATGGCCGAAAATGGCACTCTCAGACTGTGAGAGACATGTGTTGGCTTGTTGTGGGCCTATTTTTATATGTTTTATGGTCTGACTGCCCGATGAGTTTTGTCCGGCGGGGGGGGGGCTTGACCTGTCCGGTGGAGGGGGCTTAAGCCCCCCGCCGGCGCCGCCACGGTCTAGGCCTACGAATAAAACCATGTGTTATAGTGTGTTTATTCATCACTTTACGATGTCATAATAAAGTGTTCAAATAAAACCATGTGTCTAGTGTATTAATTCACCACTTTATATCTTTTATTTAACTAAAGAACAAGAAAATATTGTAAGATTACCTATATGACAAAGGTATAACTTGGGAATTCCCCTTCATGCCTATTCTAAACAACAGCTGTGGTGTTGTCTGGGCCTGTTGAGACAAACTAAAACCATGTGCGCTGCACTGGGCGAGCCAACCAATTAGCGTTCGTGTACGTGAAGCAGCAACCATGTGCACTGCACTGCACTGGGTGAGCCGACCAATTAGCGTTTGTGTACGAAACTATGCCTACTCAGTTCCCCCCACCACGATGCACCCATAGATACTGGCTCCCAGGCAAAGCCTGAGCCTCAGCCAAATGCAAATTGTTAGCTCAAAATAGGAGATTTTAAAGTAATTCGTACATAACTCGCACAGACTGTTGTTCGCACAAGTAAATCTTTTCTCCGCTCGAACTACAGTAGCATCTGCTCGAATAAATTCTGCTCGAACTGGCATTCGCTCGAAGTGTCATCCACTCGAATTGACTGGTTCCTGTGCCAGGTTAGCCTTCGACCGCCGACTAAGGCCTAGCCTATAGTAGGCCTATTCTCTAGGTCTAGCATAGGCCCTAGCTAGGTAGAAGGCCTAGGCCTACAGTACAGTAGGCCTCTCTATCCTAGGCTAGGCTACAAATCTCTACTTTATAGGCCTAGGCCTATATCCTTTTATTTATTCACACTAAATAATCGAGATAGATCCTGCCGTACTTAATATGTCTAAGAATAATATCATTACTCAATAAATAGTGTACACCCAATAAACTTCCAGATTAAAATTCAAGTCTCGCGCACTTTAATCCAAATGTACGCCGCCATTGAGAGCCTATCCCATCTAACACCAAATTAACCTCTCAACTCAATTGCTTCCGATCCGAGGTCGGCGCGAACGATTTGCTCTAAAGTATCAAAATGGATAAAGTAGATAAAAAAAGATTGGAAGAATGCGGTGCTTTACCCAAAGGGTGGAGTAGAGAAGAGGTGATTAGGAAGTCAGGCTTATCGGCTGGAAAATCAGACGTATATTACTATAGGTTTGGTCGCTTTCCTTGTGTTTTCTAACGTTAAATAAGATGATCAATCAAGGCTACGTAAGCTAGGCCTAGTGAGAGAGAGTAGACTCCTCATCTCATGCTGCCCGGCTGAATGAATACTACAACAACTAGGGGGGCCTAGGCCTAGCCTACAAACATCTTAGCTTTACAATAATACAATGGTACCAAACACTTTTATTCTAACCTAATCGCCTGTGACCCGTGACAGCAAAATGAAAATGGAGATTTACGCAATTTTGCACAACGAACCTGAGTTAGTTGCGATTTTGTGAAAGTACATCATATCATATAGGGCCTAGGCCTAGGCCTACTGCTACGCTCAATGTAAACAAACAAATAGTGAAATACTTATGGTCCAATCTGAATATAGTGTTCAAATTGTTAGTACATGTCGATGCAGTATTAATTACCCCATCTATCGGATTCCGTAAAAAACCTGAAACAGAGAGATCTCCGTGTTTGGTGGTCAAGCGTTGCGTTAGGGCAAATAGAAAAATTTATTAGATTATCACTCCCGCCCGCGTCAAAAATTCAGGAATTATTGATGCGGGAATAGAAATAAAAAATTTGTTGCCGCATCAATTATTTCAACAGCATATAAATAACAATTTTGTGACTTTAAATACAATTTCTTTAAGAAACTATAAAATTAAACAAATTTTTATAAATATTTACTACAGTATTACAGACCAAATATAAACAGTCCCTCCCTCATCGATAAAAACAAAAGCGAAATAATCTATTGTTCCGATTAAAAAAAAAAAAAAAAAGCCGCCTTCTCTTGTCAATTTTTTTTTAAAAAGAGTGATAATCGAATAATTTTTTCTATGTGCCCTTACCAAACACAGATCTCCATGTTTGGTGGGCAGAGTTAAGGAAGTGGATATAGTTAAGTGACCATTAACAAATTAGTAAACGATATATTTACATGAAATAAATAATGCATGCATAGTCAAACTTGCATTATCGGTCACATATATTTATCGATTTTGGTTAAATTCATGTTAATGTGTGTTCATTCAATTCAAGGCAATTCAACAACAATTGCCTTGATTCATTAAACAAATGACTTGAGTAAATGAAAAGAACACAGATTTTTCCGGCTCATAATATCACTTTAATTTTATTTGAAAACAATAATTGAATAATTTATCTAATGATTAAACTACTGTATATATATTGTAGCAAATTAAATTATGTTTGATAACAACAAAATTATAATTAAATCAGTGCCGTGGTGAGCTTGGGCACCGCTGCTTGGGCCAATGCTAATTTTGAGTGCTGAAAATTGAACAGACATAACATACATTTAACTAGAATTGATAAATTTATGTGACCGATAATGCAAGTTTATTAAAGTATGACTGCGTATTCGTTATTTATTCCACGTAAGTATATCGTTTACTGATTTGCTTATGGTCACGTAAACATATCCACTCCATGTCATTTTAATAAAGACATCCTTCTTAGGCTAGGCCAGCAAGGTCTAAATTTCTGCAAAATATTTTTAGAAATCTGCCCAAATATTTGAGAATTAAATATATTAACTAATGTTAGTGTTTCACAAATAACATTTTTCTTCTCTTTATAAAGTCCATGTGGCAAAAAATTCAGAAGCAAGCCACAACTTGCAAGGTTCCTTGGAGATTCTGTCGACTTGAGCTCTTTTGACTTCCGTACAGGCAAGCTGCTCTCAGCTGGCATTCGTAAGAGCAAGCGGTTACGGAACATTCATTATGACTACAACAAAGGTACACGGCATGATTCCACACTGGTGCTTCCAATACGACAGACGGCATCCATTTTTAAACAGCCGGTCACGACAGTGAGGAGGCATCAGTCAAATAAGATAAAAACCGATGTCAAACCAGATACCAAAGAATCCCCAAAACAAGTAAGTGGAAGGCAGTGCATGAAATGTTTGTCTCGGCTAAGTTTTACATCCGGATTTTTTGGTGTTAAATATACCAAAGATAATCAGTGTGAAAGTCTTAAGGCTTACACAGTTGGGGTCCTTCAGGTGGTGAATTGGGCAGTACACTGGGAGATTGGCTTTAACATACCTTATTACACATGTCTCATCCAGAAGATGTGCGCTATTGGAACTTGCATTTCTTTTAGTTTCAGACCTCAGCTGAAACATAACAGCAGCAGTTGGAATTGAACTGGGGGAAAAAGTTAAGATCTCTATGGTTCAGTGCACCCATTATGGCTAACTCTAGTTTAGCCGTCTGTGCTACAGTGCAGTAAGATGCTGTTGTCTCATAAACTGCAGTAGTGACTGTGTGTGTGCTGAATCATGGAAACCATTGGGTACCTTGTTCAATTCCATTGCTATTCTCCTTTTGCTTCAGCTAGTTTACAATTAAAGATTAGATTAAGTCATTAAATATAATCATTATATTAACATTTACATAATCTATATTTATTTAGTTGTTCTGGGAAAAGAGATTACAAGGATTAAATGCAACAGATATTGCTGAAGAACTATTAATCCAAATGGACCTTCCTGAAGGAATCACAAGTAAGCATTATTACTCATTTTAAATAGCTTTGCAATGATCATAGGCTGGATCGTCGGGCTGATAATCAATGTGTAAACAATATTGAAATATAGTTTACCAGCTTTCAACGCGTAAGCAATGTTGCAATTTACTAAATAAACAATGTTAGAACTTGATTGTTTTGTTATATCCTACCTTATTATTAAATCGATCATGTTTTAAAACTGTATTTAGTTCGCTAGCTTTGTGGGTAACCTAGTTGGCATTTAGTATGTTCGAATTTCGATGTCATTTAGGCTTACGTACGGCCTACATTTTCCCCTATAGAGGAGGAGAGCAGACAGTAGTTATACTGGTAAACTTTCCAATTCGGAGAATTTTGATCTGATATTATTCTTCTGGTAGTAGGAATTTTCTTCTTTTAAATAATACTGATGAAAATCATGTACAAATTATTACGATTTCGACAGATCACGTTGTTTATTGTTTACCGTAATTTGAAGCAGAACAACCTGCAAAGCGATATAGAAATCACTACCTTGCCGAATTAAGGCTAGTCATGCTAGACCGCATTTACTCCGTTTTTTACTCACTG